TATTAAATAGTGCAATACATGCATCACTAATTTTATGATGGGAAATCGTATTACTACGTAAGATTTCGTATGATCCCATAACCTTACGTAGGATTTCATCATAATGTTTCATAAATCTTACGATATCATAAGATTTCAACCATAATAATACGTAAAAAATACGACCCGTAACCCTACATAGGATTTCACCGTAATGTTTCATAAATTTTACAAACTTGTAAACTCGCGTAGTTTTACAACATAATACTCCGAAATATTATGAAAATCATAAATCTACGGAATATTATGCCGCATTTAAGTTCCAAATGGCTTAAAGAAGCAAGATTATTAGTAATTAAATTAATCATCAGATATCCAATTTCCATCATATAAAAAATATCTGAGAAGAACATTAAAGGAGTACGTTTGTAATTTCTTCTATCAAACCGAAGAAAAAGATCACTCCAACAACGTATACAGGCTTCTTCGTAAGCTGGCCAATTGCCCCCATGATGATGTATCGCATAAACGTCGAGAACTAAGGGAATCAAATTACTAAAGAGGTCTGTTAGATAAAAAATTCAATATTTTTGCATAAACGGCCGAATTTCAAATAAACAGTGTCAACCACATCAAGCCATGCCATGTGCACAATATATAAAATTAAGTCAATTCTTCATGGTCGTGGCTTCTTATCAAGGTCCTTATACATACTGAATATGCCTTTGTAAATATCATTAAACAAATTAGAATTCTTTAAGAAGACAAGCTCACGAGCGTTCAAGAATACATAAAGAGAACCTATTATTGGTATAAATGACGTAATAAATTGAGGAATATTTTCATTATTCATGAAAAGTCATTATGCAAGAGCTTTTCGAATGAACAACTGACCAGGCCAGTCTGCAACAACGGGAATCACATAGTTGAAAAGGTATCCTCGCATTTGCTCTTGTTCATATACGATTTGGAGTGCATTCGTATAGTCCTTTATCCCTTTTAACCTTTTTTCAACAAAATCAAAAAGAATAGAATCCTGTATATGCCATTCATCTCTTTTCTCTATTATTCTATCGTTGTAGCTATGTATCGTCAATCTGTTTACTAGCTCATCATCTGAACATTCCTTCATATCATTTCTTATACGTTCGTAGTAAGAAAGACCTATATTTATAATAAACTTCTCATCAAGATGTCTTAGAATTAATTCGCCATCCACAATCTTTGAGTTAATTATCCCATTACGTGATATTGCTGGCACTGGACATGGATTTGCCAAGATTGTTGCCATATGCGCTGCCCAGGAGGTGTCAGTTATATCAGGTTGCCGTTGGACATATATTATGATAGTTATTGAAGTTTAGTATAAAAGCCTTTCCTGAATGGCATTCAAGAGCATTCTCTACATGCTCTTTATGTGCATCAAATATTTGTTTCTTCTTTCGATCTACAGATCTTGACGTTGTAGTCACCCCAAAATTCGCCATAGTATTTAAACCTTCGTTACTTGTTCCTGTAGAATCTAAATAATAAGCTATATCAAACTTGAAGGTAGTAATTTTCATGTTATTCAACGAGGAAAGAATATAACAAGAGAATAACATTATTTTTTTTATACGATTCATTATTTGATCGCTACATTCAGAAGGCCAGGCCGCTATATAAAGTTGTTCAAAAAAATCTTTCAAAGTGGATTCACTTTCTTCTATTAATTCTCGCATTTCATCAAAATTGTAAATTGGATTCTCTTCCCGCACATATTCTCTTTCATATATGAATTTTGCCATGGCTTTGATAACTTCGAAAAGTTTAAGTTTTGTGTTAGACATACTTACGTCCTCTTCTTCCGTAACTTTTTTCCGTTTAGGACCTCTTTTCAAGGGATATTTTATCAAACTTATATAACAGCTATTACACAGGACAACACCTTTGCTTCAGGTTTCTTTTATTAGACCTTTATCCTCAGCTTCTCTCCATTTGTTCCTCTTTAATGGACGAAATCTACTCGACTCAGTGACTTGGCATTCATTACAATTCTTCTTTCCAGACATATTGAAGGTCGTTGGATTCAAATGGATTCACTTGAAATTGTTAATCTACAGAGTCAAAAGCGTTAAGAATATTTATCATCTGTGCACTTTTCATAGGATAAATAGGCTATACAAGCTTCTTAAAAAAGTATTGTAAAATGTATAAAAAATGATTTACTAAATTGTGTAACATATTTGCCTTATATTGGATACGGTCATCTCTGGACTCCCACTCCCAAGTAAGATATTCTGATCACGTGCATGCAGATCATTTGCCTTTTATAGAAACATACATTAGTCGAAAGCAAAAAGTCAAATAAATTAAAAGAATTTTATTATTAGATGATTTAAATATTTCCATTGAGAAAATTTTAAAAATATGTTTTAAAATAGAGTGTTCTAAAAATTTATTCTAAATAAGTGTTCTAAATATAAAATCGTGTTTTAAAAATCAAAGCGTTCTATAATTATATTAGTGTTCTATCAATCATCTTGAGAGTGAAGTTATGCGAGATGTGTCTTATGACGATCACGTTACCGCGGGAAGAAAGTTTTTCACGTCTACAAAAACTAGGTTCAGATCTTCACAATGCGTTCAATTTTTTCACACTTTCGCTGCAAAGCATTTTTTATAAAAAAAAAGCATCAATATTGTATTGGAGTAAAATGAATCATCAAACCTTTTTCTTTAGCCCTAAGTTTAACAAGAAACTAATCTATAAGTCACCAGCGAATAAGTATCAGGATTTCACAAATGCTTATATATATAGCATTATGGTTAAGACAGGAAGTAGAACTCTCAATCGTGCTGAAGTTTGTCGCGAAGCTGAACAAGAATGGAACAAGATTAAATCTAAGAATGAAACAGAAATTGATGTTATTATTAAAAATTACCTTGATACACCATTTAATCTATATGATATACAAACTTTAAGACCAAGGCGTCCTATGCCTAAAGAAAATCCTATCCCGGCTTCTCCTATTATTCGTTCAGTGGATCCTGTACCAGAAATCCCCATTAATGCATTAGCTCAAAAAAAGGCAGCAAATGAAATAGCAACAGCAGAGAAGAAACTTACTGAATTTGAACAAATCTATAATATTACAACTGATCCTCAATTTCGGCATGAAACGTATTTAAAGATAGAAGGTCTCCAAGCTGAAATCAAATCTAACAGAGAGAGAATTAATAAGTTACAAAAGAATGCAAGTTATGCTCGAAAATGCAAAGAAAAAAAAAGAAAAATACTTATCGAAAATCAGGAAATACACGTCGATAATTGAGTATTTGTAATTCTAGAGTTGGTGAATTATTAGCTAAATCAAACTCGGTTATAGTTTTGCTAGTGTATTGTCGAGCTCCAAGTATAAGATGAGCCCACTTAAGAAAGACACGAAAGGCAAGAGTTTGCTCTGATAGAACAGATAGAGGATAATAAATAATACACGATACATCGTCCACAAAGGTGATCTTTAGTTGGTTGTTTCATTTTTTTGATAAATATTGTGCGTAATGTGTTTACTGAATTTCAAATAAGTTTTCAAAGGTATTTATGTAGTATTCTCATAGGATATTACTACGCAATTAGGAAAAGAGAGTCCTGTCATCATCGCTAAATGTTAACGTATAATTTTTACGAACTACAACTGTTAGATAGGGTATCAGAGTGATTTCTTTTAATTGCACAGTAATCTTAAGGCTTTTACAAGTTTATTATCATGACTAATTTAAGTAAAAGTTTATACAAGTAATTCACGATCAACAATTTATGAGGTATCAAGTAATTATATTTTCAAGTAAGATGTTTATTGATAAGAATAGAAATAGAAATAAAGAAAATAAAAGATATGACA